GAAGTGCTTCATCAGTATCGCAGATGAATGATGAAAGCAACAGCTTCCCTGGCAGCCAGAAAAAGTTAAATAGCCTCTGTGTATGTCTGTATATGCTTGTGTGTCAAAAATTGGCATTGAATGTTTGCCATATATGTGTACACTGTACTCCGCCCTGAGTCCCCTGCGGGGTGAGAAGGGTGGAATATAAAAGCTGTGAATAAATAAATATAAATAAACCTTTAAAAGTCTGGCATAGACACTGAGAACTGGGAAGCCCTGGCCCTTGAGTACTCCAGCTGGAGGTCAGCTGTGACCAGCAGTGCTGCAGAATTTGAAGAGGCACGAATGGAGGGCAAAAGAGAGAACCGTGCCAAGAGGAAGGCCGGGACTGCCTTCCACCTGGAAACTGATGCCCTCACTGTGGGAGAACATGCATGTCAAGAATAGGGCTCCACAGTCACCTACGGACCCATCGCCAGGATACTATGCTTGGAGGACCATCATCCTCGGACTACGAGGGATCGCCTAAGTAAGTATAAGTCTTGACACCATCATATGATGGGGAATCAGCACCATAAACCTCTTTCATCTCATCGAACATCTCCTTTGATGTGTGGCCTTTCAAGCAAAGGGTTGAACTAGATGACTGCTGTGTATTCCACTGTGTTGTTATTGTGTTTTGGTTTTACTTTATTGTAATATGCTGTTGGGCTTGGCCTCATGTAAGCCGTCCCGAGTCCCCATTGGGGAGATGGTGATGGGGTATTAAATAAAGATTATTATTATTATTATTATCAATTCTCAAACCTGACACCAGTGCATGTAAAATCAAGACTGTTATCAGGTCAGAATTGTAAACCTATAGATTACAGTTTCTGCGTCCTGTGATGAATAGAAGTGTATTAGGATAAATCTTTAATGAACACCCCTCGTATGATGTTGGGTTTCGTCTGATGCAGCAGGGTTCTTCTTACGCCTCAAGGAGGAGAATACGCTCCCACCTTCTGCTCTCACCTGACGCTTGATGGCTTGCATCTTGTATTGATTCACGAATGATTCCATCTCAGGGAGGTCAAGGGACAAAAACCTACAGAAGAGGAGGAGGAGGAGAAGGAAGAATGATTATTTTTATTTACAGTATTTATATTCCGCCCTTCTTCTCACCCCGCAGGGGACTCAGGACGGATTACAGTGTACACATATATGGCAAACATTCAAGGCCAATTTGACATACAACGTATACAGACATACACAGAGGCTATTTAACTTGTTCTGGCCGCCAGGGGAGCTGTTGCTTTCATCGTCCATCTGCGACGCTGATACAGTACTTCCGCATTCCCCGCATGCTTTTGCTGGAGTGCTTTGCTGGAGTCTTTTTTTATGGCCTCATAATTTAGTTAATTTAGCCTCTCCACACAAGGTGGTACCTACTTTTTCTACTTGACAGATGCAACTGTCTTTCAGGTTGCAAAGGTCAACAACAGGCTACACAATTGGTTGGAAGCCCACTCCAACCCGGGCTGGCTTCGAACTCATGACCTTTTGGTCAGAGTGATCTTAATGCAGCTTACAGAGAGAGCGAGCGCATATGGACCTTATTCTGAAAGATAAAGGGACTGTCAACAATCCACTATGGGATGAGTGAACACATAAATAGAAGGTCAGCTGCAGTCCTCACCTTTTTGCCTTGTTTTTTTTACTCGTGTTTTATTTTGAAATGGTCATATGACTGGTCAAATAAATAATAATAATAATAATAATTATTATTATTATTATAACTCGACTGACTAAGGTTTGAAAGAACAACCCAGAATGCTGAAGTCTAACAACCAGAAGTACCAAACACAAAACAGTCGCTCAGAATCATAGAATCCTAGAGTTGGAAGAGACCTCATGGGCCATCCATTCCAACCCCATTCTGCCAAGAAGCGGGAAAATTGCATTCAAAGCACCCCCGACAGATGGCCATCCAGCCTCTGTTTAAAATCTTCCAAAGAAGGAGCCTCCACCACACAATTGTGGAGCCCAGAATTGGACACAATATTCCAGGTGTGGTCTAACCAAGGCGGAATAGAGCATGGGGAGCATGACTTCCCTGGATCTTGACACTAGACTCCTATCGATGCAGACCAAAATCCCATTGGCTTTTTTTGCCGCCGCATCACATTGCTGTCTCATGTTTAACTTGTTGTCCACAAAGATCTTTTTCACACATACTGCTCTGGAGCCACGCATCCCCCACACATCAGCCAACAATGTGATGTGGTGGCAAAAATAGCCAATGGGATTTTGTCCTGCATCAATAGGAGCCTAGTGTCTAGATCTAGGGAAGTCATGCTACCCCTCTATTCTCGCTTTGGTTAGACCACACCTGGAATATTGTGTCCAATTTTGGGCACCACAATTCAAGAGAGATATTGACAAGCTGGAATGTGTCCAGAGGAGAGAGGCTAAAATGATCAAGGGTCTGGAGAACAAGCCCTATGAGGAGCAGCTTAAGGAGCTGGGCATGTTTAGCCTGAAGAAGAGAAGGCTGAGAGGAGATATGATAGCCATGTACAAATATGTGAGAGGAAGCCACAGGGAGGAGGGAGCAAGCTTGTTTTCTGCTTCCTTGGAGACTAGGACGCGGAACAATGGCTTCAAACTACAAGAGAGGAGATTCCATCTGAACATGAGGAAGAACTTCCTGACTGTGAGAGCCATTCAGCGGTGGAACTCTCTGCCCCGGAGTGTGGTGGAGGCTCCTTCTTTGGAAGCTTTTAAACAGAGGCTGGATGGCCATCTGTCAGGGGTGATTTGAATGCAATATTCCTGCTTCTTGGCAGAACGGGTTGGATTGGATGGCCCATGAGGTCTCTTCCAACTCTATGATTCTATATCTCAGTCCATTATGTACTGCACACCACAAACTATACACTATACATGTATTGCTAAATATCACAGCTTCTAAGACGGTGTTTTAAAACAAACAGTCGAACGAACAATTCACAAAACCAACAATTCAGTATATTTGTTGTACAAATGATGAACCCCGAGTCTGAAAGAAAGGGATTTAGAAAACATCAGCCACAGAATGGCATATTTTCCTTGCCTCCTAAACAACTTAATGTATTGGTGGGGAATTGAAAGCTTTGGATATCTACCAAAGATTACGCAGAACTCAATCATGAATCCTCAGTCTGCTCTATGCAGGGAGGGCTAAACAAAGGCCATTCCTCCGTCTCAAGATTGTGCTCCTACCCAAGGCCAAAACAGGACATGTGGATGCCGATGCCAAAGAACTCACCTCAAGGACTGCACTGATAAGGGCATCTCAGCATTTTCTCTGTTAGGGAAAATAAGAAATGTCAGGTGAATTTGAGAGATATAGGAAACTTACAGATTTAAAGACTCATACTATGTACTTTAAGCAAACCCAGTTGTATTTTGGGACCCTCCATCCTAACAAATTCCAAGGATGGAGTCATGCATTCCATCTTCAGCCGTGTGAGCTCTAAATCTTCCATCCACCCAACAATCGGAAATGGCTGAGATGAGAGTGTGCCTTTGCCCTCCCCAGGCTCCATGTTTCTCACCGTATCTCCTCCAACATCTCTTTCATGGACATCAGGTCAACCTTGTCCTATGGAAAGAGAAGAGTAGTAGTAATTTTTATTGATTAGCCCTTAGGCCAGTGTTTCTCAACCTGGAGGTTGGGACCCTTGAGGGGGTTGTAAGGGGGTGTCAGAGGAGTCACCAAAGACCATCAGAAAACACAGTATTTTCTATTGGTCATGGAGGTTCTGTGTAGGAAATTTGACCCAATTCTATCGTTGGTGGTGTTCAGAATGCTCTTTGATTGTAGGTGAACTATAAATCCCAGTAACTACAACTCCCAAATGTCAAGGTCTATTTCCCCCAAGCTCCATGGTCCTAGTTGGGCAAATGGAATATTCGTGCAAAGTTTGGTCCAGATCCATCATTGTTTGAGTCCACAATGCTCTCTGGATGTAGGTGAATTACAAATTCCAGACTCAAGGTCAATGCCCACCAAACCCATCTAGTGTTTTCTGTTGGTCAGGAGAGTCCTGTGTGCCATGTTTGGTTCAATCCCATAGTTGGTGGAGTTTAGAATGCTCTTTGAATGTAGGTGAACTATAAATCCCAGCAACTACAACTCCAAAATGACAAAATCATAATATTTTGAGGGATGGTCACTCCTTGTTGTGAGATGTTTTGTTGCCAAATTTGGTGTGATTTCGTTCATTGGTTCTTTTGTTTTTAAGGTACTCATTACACACAGAGCATTTATATCTATATTAACCATTTAATGTAAATATTCAAAAACATTTAACCTACTGATGCCTCAATTAATGTAATTGTATTGGTATCTATGTTTATTTTGAAATTGACCAGTACCTGCTGCATTTCCCACCCTCGGCTTATACTCAAGTCAATTCGTTTTCTCAGTTTTTTGTGGTAAAATTAGGTGCCTCGGCTTATATTTAGGTGGCTTATACTCGATTATACATGGTAGATCAGTGTTTCTCAACCTGGGGGTCGGGACCCCTGAGGGGGTCAAGGGTGTCAGAGGGGTCGCCAAAGACCATCAGAAAACACAGTATTTTCTGATGGTCATGGGGATTCCATGTGGGAAGTTTGAGCCAATTCTATCATTGGTGGAGTTCAGAATGTTCTTTGATTGTAGTGAACTATAAATCCCAGCAACTACAACTCCCAAAAGTCAAGGTCTATTTTCCCCAGACTCAACCAGTGTTCACATTTGGAAATATTGAGCATTCGTGACAAGTTTGGTCCAGATCCATCATTGCTTGAGTCTACAGTGCTCTCTGGATGTAGGTGAACTACAACTCCAAAACTCAAGGGTCAGTGCCCACCAAACCCTGCCAGTATTTTCTGTTGGTCATGGGAGTTGTGTGTGCCAAGATTGGTTCAATTACATAATTGGTGGAGTTCAGAACGCTCTTTGATTATATGTGAACTATAAATCCCAGCAACTACAACTCCCAAATTACAAAATCAGTCCTCCCCCAACCCCACCAGCATTTACATGTGGGTGCATTGGGTATTTGTGCCCAATTTGGTCCAGTGAATGAAAATACATCTTGCATATCTGATATTTACATTATGATTTATAACAGTAGTAAAATGACTGTTATGAAGTAGCAACAAAAACAATGTTATGGTTGGGGGTCACCACAATATGAGGGACTGTATTAAGGGGTCACGGCATTAGCAAGATTGAGACCCACTGTGGTAGATCCTTAAATATGCGCACAATTTTCTTAGTTTCTGTATAATGTTTATATTGGCTTCCTTACCTCTTTAGCCTGGTCCCAAACACTCTTCTCCATGGGGTTAAGTTCCAGGGAGGGCAATGTAAACTTGAAGTAGGGACGTAGGTTCTTGTAGACGTAGATGAAGGGCCCAGAGGCCACGGCTACGGCAGGCATGCGGGGCTCGTGTTGCTCCATCAGGAAGGTGGTGACGCTAACCGGCAGGTCAGGCAGGGCATTCTCGCTCAGGAGGCCCATGCCTTGATACACCTTCAGCTTCATCTCATGCCCTGTCGAACCCAGGTCACCCACCACCAGCTGGGGAAGAAAACAGAAAGAATATACAGCCATTCCTCCGCATTTCAATTCTGACATTTGTGAATTTGACTATTCAGATTTTGTGGTTCTGTAATCAATTCATTCAGTAATGCTGGAAGACCTAGAGATTTCTCCACTTCACTTTATTTCTTAATTAGTCGCTCTCCACCAAGGTGCTCCAAGCGACTTACAATCTAAAATAGCATTTACACAATATAAAAACATTCCACATAAAACATTCAACAGTGACTATTTGGCAAATTAGATCTGATCACTTTACTTAAATGCACAGCCAAACAGCCAAGTCTTGAGTGCCTTTACAAAAGGTCGCAACTCTGACATTGCTCTAATGTATGGAGGCAATGAGTTCCACAGAATTGGAGCATAGGTCGAAAAAGCTCTACGCCTTGTAGCTTCCAGGTGTACCTCCCTAGGGCCCGGTATATATAGGAGATTTTCCTGGGTGGATCGAGGTGACCACTGATGGAGAAAAGGAATGAGGCGGTCCCTAAGATATAAAGGTCCTTGGCCATTTTGAGCTCTAAATGTCAGGATCAGGATCTTGTAAGAGATCCGATGTTCTATTGGTAGCCAATGCAGTTGTTGCAGAATCGGTGTAATATGGGATCTTATAGATCAGTGGTTCTCAACCTGGGGTCGGGACCCCGAGGGGGGTCGCGAGGGGGTGTCAGAGGGGTCGCCAAAGACCATCAGAAAGCACAGTATTTTCTGTTGGTCATGGGGGTTCTGTGTGGGAAGTCTGGCCCAATTCTATTGTTGGTGAGGTTCAGAATATTCTTTGATTGTAGGTGAACTATACATCCCAGCAACTACAACTCCCAAATGTCAAGGTCTATTTCCCCCAAACTCTACTAGTGTTCACATTTGAGCATATTGAGTATTAGTGCCAAGTTTGGTCCAGATACATCATTGTTTGAGTCCACAGGTGAACTACAACTCCAAAACTCAAGGTCAGTGCCCCCCAAACCCTTCCAGTATTTTTTGTTGGTCATGGGAGTTCTGTGTGCCATGTTTGGTTCTATTCCATCATTGGTGGAGTTCAGAATGCTCTTTGATTTAGGGTGAATTATAAAACCCAGCAACTACAATTCCCAAATGACAAAATCAAACACCCCCCCCCCCCCCACCTCGCCAGTATTCAAATTTGGGCATATCGGGTATTTGTGCCAAATTTGGTCCAGTGAATGAAAATACATTCTGCATATCTGATATTTACATTATACATAACAGTAGCAAAATTACAGTTATGAAGTAGCAATGGAAATAATTTTATGGTTGGGGGTCAACACAACTTGAGGAACTGTATGAAGGGGTGGCGGCATTAGGAAGGTTGAGAACCACTGTTATAGATTATCCCGCTAGCAGCCTGGCCGCTGCATTTTGGACCATCCAAATCTTCTGGGTCGTTGACTTCGGAAGGCCGGCATATAAGGCGTTGCAATAGTCCAACCTCGTGGTGACTGTTGCGTGGATTACCGTTGCCAATGCTTCTACCGAAAGGTAGGATGCCAATTTCCTTGCCTGGCGAAGATGAAAAAAGGCCTGCTTACTTATGGCAGTGATCTGGGCCTCCATCGTCAGCGATGAGTCCAACACAACCCCAAGGCTTTTAATAGTTAATCCGTGTCTACCAGGAACTCCTGGAGTTGCGAGGCCACCACACGTTCCAGGACTTTGCCCAAATAGGGGAGATTGGAAACTGGCCGGAAGTTGACGAATTGAGTGGGGTCCAGTGATGGTTTTATCAACAGCAGTTTTATAACAGCTTGTTTTAAGCTGGCTGGAATGTTGCCTTCCCGAAGGGAGGCATTAACCACCACCTTTACCCACTCTGCCAAGCCCCCTCTGGCTTCCTTGACCAGCCAGGATGGGCAGGGGTCTAAGATGCATGTGGTGGGCCTCGCCTCCCCAAGAACCCTGATGACCTCATCGAGTTGAACAGATCGAAACGAATCCATCAAAACTGGACAAGCAGATGCTTGTGTTACATCCTCAGAGACTGCCGTTAACGTGGTGTCAAAGCCCGAACGGATCAAAGCGACTTTGTCCGCAAAGAGTTGGGTGCCATCTCTACACAGATGACACACAACTCTACTACTCTTTTCCACCTAACTCCAAGGAGGCCTCTCGGGTGCTGGACGAGTGCCTGGCCACTGTGTCGATCTGGATGAGGAGGAACAAGCTGAAGATCAATCCTGACAAGACAGAGGTCCTCCTGGTCGATCGCAAACCGGATCGGGGTATAGGGTGGCAACCTGTGTTGGACGGGGTTACACTCCCCCTGAAGCCACAGGTCTGCAGTTTGGGAGTCCTCTTGGACTCATTGCTCACGCTTGAGGCTCAGGTGTCGGCGGTGTCCGGGAGGGCTTTTGCACAACTGAGACTTGTGCGCCAGCTGCGACCGTACCTCGCGAAGGCGGATCTGGCCGGGGTGGTCCATGCCTTGGTCACCTCTAGATTGGATTACTGCAATGCGCTCTACGTGGGGCTGCCCTTGAAAACGGCTCGGAAATTTCAACTGGTCCAATGGGCAGCGGCCAGGATGTTAACTGGGGCCCATTACAGAAAGAGGTCAACCCTCCTGTTTAAGGAGCTCCACTGGCTGCCGTTTATTTTCCGAGCCCAATTTAAGGTGCAGGTGCTTACCTACAAAGCCCTGAACGGTTTGGGACCACCCTACCTGCGTGATCGCATCTCCGTCTACGAACCCACACACTCACTTCGGTCATCTAGAGAGGCCCTGCTCGTGATCCCGCCCGCGTCGCAAGCGCGCTTGGTGGGGACGCGAGACAGGGCCTTTTCTGTGGTGGCCCCCCAACTTTGGAACGCCCTCCCAAAAGATCTCAGACAGGCCCCTACATTGGCAGTCTTTAGAAAGAATTTGAAAACCTGGCTGTTCCGATGTGCCTTTTCAGATTAGGAACCTCCAATACTAAGTCCTAGAAGCACTTTAGTAGAACCAAGATCACTGCACACCGCACACTGCACTTATTTTAGAATCCTACATTCCTCCCGCCACATCAGCACTTTTAATCCTGTACCTACTACTCTGGCCGGCCCAGTTTTAATAGTGTCTCGTTGTATTGTTACTGTTATTGTTTACTCTGCTTAACTGTTTTTAATTTGCTTTAGGTATTGTATTGTTGTATTGTGTTTTGAGGCTTCGGCCTGTGTAAGCCGCATCGAATCCCTCGGGAGATGCTAGCGGGGTACAAATAAAGTTATAATAATAATAATAATAATAATAAAGTACTGAGCAAAGGCTTCACAGCGAGCTGCCGAGTCGTCAGGGGACCCATCCTGAGAGGTGGGGTTCAACAGCTCTCTGACTACTCGGAACAGCTCAGCCGGACGGTTCCTTGCGGACGCAATATTGGCCGAGTAGAAGGAATTTTGTGCGGCCTCTATTGCCATGCCATATGCCCTTAAATAAAGGCGCAGGCGTGTTCGGTTTGACTCGCTAGGATCTTTCCGCCACACGCTCTCTAGCCACCTCTTTGTTTGCTTCATCTCCACCAACTCCTTGTTAAACCAAGGAGATGGTTTAGTTCGGCGAATTAAGAGGGGGCGCTCCGGAGTAATTGTGTCTAAAAGAAAACTAATTAAAAACTGATTAAAAACTCAGGTGAGAAAAAGGAGAAGCAGGTTATTTGCGGAGGAGGGTTCATTAAAACAGGGGTTGTGGAATCAAACTTTCCCACAAGGAGAGGGGGGACGTATACTCCAATGACAAAGCGTTGAGGCTAAGCAATAGTGTGAGTTTGTATACTTACTCACCAAAGGCGCAGCGGAAGAGCCAGGTTTTAAGGTTCTTTTTAAAGGTTTCTAGGGTAGGGGCTTTCCTAATCTCTCCAGGTAATGAGTTCCAGAGTCGGGGGCCACAGAGGAAAAAGCTCTCTCCCTTGTGCTTACAAGGCAAGCTTGTGAAACTGGCAGGGGCAGGGGCGAGATCAGAGGGCCCATATCTCCCTCTGATATCTCCCATATCAGAGGGAGATATGGTCACAAAGGTAGGCAGGTCCCAAACTGTTAGGGCTTTATAGGTGATAACCTGCACCTTGAATTGGGACGGGAAAAGAAACGGCAGGCAGTGGAGCTCCTTAAACAGGGGGGTTGAGGAAGAACCAGGTTAGCCATTCACTTGAAGGTGTAATGGAAGTGAAAAGGACCAGAAGCAAACTTACTGATGTGACAATGTTTGGCCCCTTACCTTACAGTCTCCATCACCATAGAGGTCAGCCAGGGCTAGAATAGAAAGGAGACTTCTGTTTACTTCTGTTCGACAAGAAAACTAAGGCAGCAGTACAGTGGGTCCTTGCTATCTGCTGAGGTTTAGTTATCCAGGATCTTCCATGGATACCAATACACACATATATATAGAGAGAGAGAAGGGGGGTCCAATTACATACAATAGCATAGTAAAATAGGATCCCATATATTGCTTTTTGGACTGAGAGAGTGTGGATACCGAAATGATGGATATAAAGGGTGAACTGTACTATGAACCTAGATAGGGAGCCATTGTTCACTGCTTCTGCCTCTGGCAACAAATAATAATCATAATAATAAACCTTTATTTATACCCCGCTACCATCTCCCGGATGACTCGGTGCAGCTTACAAGAGGCCGAGCCCAACAACACAGCAATACAGACAATAAATAAACTCATAAACAAAGCAATAAACAATAACAGTAACACCACGACGCATTAAAAACCTATGGCAGGGCCAAATGTAATAATTAAAATTTTAAAATACTGAGCATGACAAGGTGACATATAACTAGGATGGGTATTTGAAGAGAAATGGAGCGAGCAGACAGTCCTAGATCATTAGTAAAGTGCGATTTGGGACATGTTGCTTAGGCTGGCCCTGGTGTAATCTTCTGAAAACCTAGGCAAAATCTTTTTTTAAAGTAATGTGAATATATGCAATGAGCCATCACCAGGAGTGTTTTGTTTTCCTCATACCACCCCACCTAAACTGGAAGATTCCCCTTGTTAGATAGAGAATGAAAAAAAGATTCAGACTTACTGACACAAGAGGAAAATGTGTACAGGTTGGCCACTGGGTCATAGTGGGCATCCAGCCATTTCGAATTCGCTGGAGGACTGGTGGAGGAAAGGGTGAAAAAAATACAATCAGAGGAATATCTTGAAACTTTAGATATTTTCAAGTTAGGGATATCTCCGAGATAATAATAATAATAATAATAATAATAATAATAATAATACTTCAACCAGAGAAGTCAGCCATAGCAGAGCACCTGATGAACCAACC